AAAACCTGGCCACTCCTGCGACTATCAAACCTACTTTAATTTGACCTTTCACCCCTACCTAGCCTCAATTCTTCCACTAGTTAAAACCTAAAGCTGCCTGGAGCCAGTGGCTCACATCTGTAATACTAGCTACTCAGGAGACTGAGATCTGAGGATCGCAGTTCAAAGCTAGCCGGGGCAGGAAAGTCCATGAAACTGGAAATGGTGCTGTGGCTCAAAGTTGCTGGTCAGAGTGCCCAGGCCCAGAGTTCAAGCTCCACAACCGACAAAAAAACTAAAGCCGTCAGATCGCAGAAAAGAATAGTTAATGAAATTAATTTGAATAAACAAAAACCAAAACAAAGCTAGCTTGGCGCGGGTGGCTCAGAAGGCTGAGATCTGAGGCTCATGCTTCAAAGCCAGCCCAGCAGTAATTCCGCGAGATCCTGATCTCCAGTCAAGCAGCCCAAAGAGCTGGGAGTGAAGCTGTGGCTCAAGTGGTGGAGTACCTGGCTTGGGGAAAGCTGCCCAGGCCCCGAGTTCATAGCCCAGTTACTGGAGGTCCCTGCATATACTTGGACTGAAATGTGTATTTTTCCTATTTCCAGAGTCTGCAGGTGCCGTGTTTCTAAAATCTGTTTCTCTGCATTTTCATCATTACTTGTCTCTTCATTTGGTATGTTGAGAAAAGAAGCTGGACCGAGCATACTGGGCCTCCTAGAATTGGACCCCAACTCAGAACCTCAAAGATCAGCAGAAGTTAGATTTTATCTGTTCTGGTGAATCCCACTGGAGGAAGCAGTGAGCAACATGAACTCTGCCTAGAGCAAGCTATTTTTTTTTTTTTTTTGGTCAGTCACGGTGCTTGAACTCCGGGTCTGGGCGCTGTCCCTGAACTCTTCAGCTTAAAGGAAGCGCTCTACCTCTTGAGCCACAGAGCCACTTCCGGTTTGTAGGTGGTTAATTGGAGATAAGAGACTCAGGGACTTTCCTGCCTGAGCTGTCTTTGAACCTCGATCCTCAGATCTCAGCCTCCTCAGTACCTAGGATTATAGGCCTGAGCCACCGTACCCAACTACACTGCTTTTTGTTTTTTTTTTGGTCGGCCATGGGGCTTGAACTCTGGGCTTGGGCGCTGTCCCTCAGCTCTTCAGCTCAAGGCCAGCACTCTACCCCTTGAGCTACAGCGCCACTTCCATTTTTTCTAGTGGTTATTGGAGATAGGAGGCTCACGGTCTCTCCTGCCCGGCCTGGCTTTGAACCGCGATCACCATGATCCTCAGATCTCAGCCTCCTGAGTAGCTAGGATTACAAGCATAAGCCACCAGTGCCCGGCTTTTTAGCTACACTGTTTTAAAAAAAAAAAAAAAACCTGGGGCTGGGAAGGTGTCTCAGTGGTAGAGTGCTTGCCTTGCATGCATGAGGCCCTGGGTTCGATTCCTCAGCACCACATAAGCAAAAAGAAAAAAGCTGGAAGTGGCGGTGTGGCTTAAGGGGTAGAGTGCTAGCCTTGAGCTGAAGAGCTGAGGGACAGCGCCCAGGCCCAGAGTTCAGGCCCCATGACTGGACCCCCCAAAAAAAACCCAAAAAAACCCAGAAACCTAAAAGACACGGTCTCCAAATTACAGTTTGAAGCAAAAAATAATTAGTTAGCAGGCTGGGAATGTGACTCAGTGGTAGAGTGCTTGCCTAGCATGCATGAAGCCCTAGGTTTGATTCCTCAGTACCACATACATAGAAAAAGTGGCGCTGTGGCTCAAGTGGTAGAGTGCTAGCCTTGAGCACAGAGAGGCTCAAGGACAATGCCTAGGCCTGGAGTTCAAGCTCCAGATCTGGCAAAAAATCAACCAAACAGGGCTGGGAAGGCGGCTCAGTGGGAGAGCGCTGGCCTTGCATACATGAGGCCCAGGGTTCAATTCCTAGGCAACATATAAGTAGAAAAAGCTGGAAGTGGTGCTGTGACTCAAGTGGTAGAGCGCTAGCCTTGAGCAGAAGAGTTGAGGGACAGCAAACATTCCGGAAGCTTGAGTCCTGTGCTGTGATCACCCTCCTGGAGAAGCAGCACTACACACAAAACCTTCCTTTACCATCTTCCTGAGCTACTTTGGAAGTCTGAGATCCAGAGTACCGTGAGTCAGACCGAGTCTGGGGAAATTTTTCCGTGATAAACTTTATCTCCATGGAGCTATCAATAAACTGGAAATGGAGCCCATGCTCGAGATTTAGGGACAGTTTCCAGCCAAAAATTTCAAAGACAACACACCCAGGTTCAAGTGCCCGTACCTGTAGAAAAACAAGCAATGATGACTGACGTAGGACTTTATTCACTTCTGGACTTACTCAATGTGGACAATCAGTCCGAAAGTGTATGCAAAAAGCAACTTCGGAGTGGGTGTGTACGTGTGTGTGTGCTGGTCTTGTGTGGCTTGAACTCAGGGCCGCCTGAGCGCTGTCCCAAAGCTTTTCACTCAAGGCTGGTGTTCTACCACTTGAGCCACAGCTCCACTTCCAACCTTTTCGTGATTAATTGGAGCTAGAGTTCCCTGTGCAGGCTGGCTTTGAACTAGAAGCCTCCAGATCTCAGCTTCCCCAGTAGCTGGTATTTGCAGGCGTTGTGGTGTCCCAGAGGCCCCCCTCTCCTTTCTTGGGGGTCAGTGATCCTCATACTCCAGTGGACAGTGTGGTATCCGGGCACAGGCAAACAAGGATGAAGACACCAGCATGTCCCAGGGAAGGGCTTCAGTGACCAGAGGCCTTGGAAGCCAACATTGGGGGCCTCGATCCTGCCACAGCTCCCATGCCAGCATTTTGGTCTGCACCCTGACACACACACACAGCCCCACATCTCACCACCTCCTGGTTCCAGTGCCAGGATTCCCCTAGGATCCCATACATAGGCCCCTGAAGCCTGAGAGTCTGCACAGTGGGGGACAAACACTTGGCACCCTAACATCTAGGACAAGAAGGATCCCATCGGGGAGCCGCCCAATGGGAAGAAAGAGCCACAGCACAGACCCCACGCCCACCTCCCAGTCATCTTGGTTGGACAGTGTTAGTAGAAGCTTCTGATTGGGCAGCATTCTTACAGATGAAGCTCCTGATTGGACGGCTTAACTGACTGGCAAGAATTCCTGATTGGACAGAAGGCCAACTATCTCCCGCTTTTAATTGGATGGCTCCTGAAGGAAGGGCGTTGATGATTGGATGGCGGCCCTGACTGGATGGCTCCGGAGGGTGGCAGGGCTTTTGGTGGTGGTGATCTCTCTTGGGAGTCTGGCCTGCGGTTTGAAATCAGGGCCTGGGTGCAGCCCCTGACCTTTCCCCTCAAGGATGGAGCTCTACCACTTGAGCCACAGCCCCACTTCTCAGATCTGTCTCCTGAGTAGCTGGGATGACAGGGTTTAGCCACCAGCTCCCGGATTAGTCCCTGTGTCCTCATTAGATGTCCTTTCTAGGCTTGCTTTCGACTTCCCTGTTCTGATCCCCAAAGACAGATTTATGTTCATTCCTCCAGGGAGTCACACAGAAGGGGAAACTTGTTACATTTAATAGCAATCAATGGCCCATAACAAGCCCACTGAAATTCATCAAGACTTTGTCAGAGGGCTGGGAAGGTGGCTCAGTGGTAGAGCGCTTGCCTTGCATGCATGAGGCCCTGGGTTCAATCTCTCAGTACCACATAAGCAGAAAAGGCCAGAAGTGGCGCTGTGGCTCCAGTGGTAGAGCGCTAGCCTTGAACTGAAGAGCTGAAGGACAGCGCCCAGGTCCTGAGTTCAGGCCTCATGACCAACAAAAAAAAAAAATTGTCAGAAATTGTTTAATTCCTTTCATCTCATTTGACCAGAGGCAGGGATTTGTGGTCCAGCATGAAGCACAAATCATTTTTAAGATGAAGGCTATAAGAATAGCACAGAGAGCCGGGCGCTGGTGGCTCACGCCTGTAATCCTAGCTACTCAGGAGGCTGAGATCTGAGGATTGCGGTTCAAAGCCAGCCCGGGCAAGAGAGACTGTGAGACTCCTATCTCCAATAAACCACCAGAAAACCGGAAGTGGCGCTGTAGCTCAAGTGGTAGAGCGCTTGCCTTGAGCTGAAGAGCTGAGGGACAGCGCCCAGGCCCAGAGTTCAAGCCCATGACCATATGCCCCCACCCCAAAAAACAACAACAACAAAAAAACCCCCAACAGAATATGTCCTTTGTGTCATTGTGTCTGTGTCCCCTGTAGTGAGGATTTTAGCATCTGGCCTTCCGAGTTATAGAAAGACAACATTAAATAAAACAGGGCTCAACTTCTTGGCATGTTTTTGTTTTGTGGGAAATAAATCGTCTGTGTGATGAAATTACCTCAGATTTCTCTTCCTTGTTTTGGAGGCATTTGGAACATTCTTATCTCCTTGTATTCCTCCTACATTATAGACCAAAAAGAGAAAAATTATGAATTATCCTACTTCACAGGAAAAATACTACCAGGCCTGTTAAAAATCACCAAATCAGCCGAGTGCTGGTGCCTCCCGCCTGTCATCCGAGCTACTCAGGAGGCTGAGATCTGAGGATTGCAGTTCAAACCCAGCCTGGGCAGGAAAGTCCATGAAACTCTTATCTCCAATAAATAAACCACCAGGAAAGGAGAAGTAGTGCTAGACTTGAGCTGAAGAGCTGCGGGACAGCACCCAGGCCTAGAGTTCAAGCCCCAGGACCACCACCACCTACAACAACAAAAAGACCAAATCACCCTCGCTGTCCCTCAGCTTTCTAGCTCAAGGTGAGCACTCTACCACTTGAGCCACAGGCCACTTCTGTTTTTTCTGGTGGTTCATTGTCAGTAAGAGTCTCACAGACTTTCCTGTCTGGGCTGGCTTTGAACCAGGACCTCAGATCTCAGCCTCTTGAGTACCTGGGATGACAGGCGTGAGCTCTGGGCCCCCTTGTTGAATTCATGTGCATACACGCCCCGCCTTGGCAAGCAGGAAGCCCTAGTTTTCTCGTTGATCGAGTAGGAGCAAGACTTCACCTTCACCCACGCAGGCCAGGCTCCAGAGCGCGTCCAGCATCACCTCCCTGTAGAGATTCTTCTGGGAAGGATCCAGGAGAGTCCATTCCTCTTCAGTGAAGGTCATGGCCACGTCCTCTAAGGTCACACAGTCCTGGAACCACACAGCAGGTCAGGGAAGCCAGGTGCTGGTGGCACCGCCACCCACCTCCGATCCTAGCTGCTCAGGAGGCTGAGAAGTGAGGATCGATTGTGGTTCAAAGCCAGCCGGGGCAGACTTTTTTCTTTTTTGGTTGGTCATGGGGCTTGAGCTCTGGGCCTGGGTGCTTTCCCTAAGCTCTTCAGCTCAAGGGGAGCACTCTACCCCTTGAGCCACAGCGCCACTTCTGGTTTTCTAGTGGTTTATTGGAGATAAGAGTCTCATGGACTTTCCTACTTGGGCTGGCTTTGAACTGTGATGCTCAGATCTCAGCCTCCTGAGTAGCTAGGATTACAGGCATGAGCCACCACTGGTGCCTGGCTTCATCTTTACTTTCGAGAGTGGAAATTAGCTACATAACAAACAAGCCATGGGTAAACATAAAACTTACGTTTAGCTGGGTTCTGGTGGCTCACTCCTGTAATCCTAGCTACTCAGGAGACTGAGATCTGAGGATCACAGTTCACAGCCAGCCCAGGCAGATAAGTCTGTAAGACTCCTGTCTCCAATTAACCATCAGAAAACCAGAAGTGGTGCTGTGGCTCAAGGGGTAGAGCGCTCTCCTTGAGCTGAAGAGCGCAAGGATAGCTCCCTAGCCCCACGACCGACCAAAAAAAAAAACCAAAGTTGGGGCTGGGAAGGTGGCTAAGTGGTAGAGCGCTTGCCTTGCATGCATGAGGCCCTGGGTTTGATTCCTCAGCACCACATAAGCAAAAAGAAAAAAAGCCGGAAGTAGACCTGTGGCTCAAGTGGTCTAGTGCTAGCCTTGAGCTGAAGAGCTGAGGGACAGCGCTCAGGCCCAGAGTTCAGGCCCCACGACCGGACCCAAAAACAAAAAACCAAACTTTTCTTCCAAATGGTACAATCTTGGAGCATTTTATTTTTTTTTAATATTTTTCTGTTTGAGTTGTTGGTTGGGGTTTGATCAGTGCCTGAGCTTTTACTAAAGGCTAGTGAGTTGCCACTTGGAGCCCCAGCTCTCCTCCTGGAGCATTTTATATAAATCAATTCATAACAGACTTTTCACAGGACTGATGCTCAGTCATTCATCTCCATCACAATTTTTTTTGACAGGTTGAAAAGTATGTTTCACAAACAAGATTTTGAACCAATGTCCAAGGCTCATTTTCATGTGTCACTGGGGGTACCCGTCCCGTCCTGGGGCTTGAACTCAGGGCCTAGGGCTGGATCCCCCTTGGTTTGCTCACTCAAGGCGGATACTCATCAATTAACCCACAACTCTGAGAGAAGAGTCTCAGATTTCAGCCTCCCGAGTAACTAGGATTATAGTTACAAACCACCTGTGCCCAGGTGGTTTGGGGGGACAGTTGAAATCTTTTGAACCTCTTCTGCTCCCTTCTTTCTTCCCCTAGCACGCACTTTTATGTCTGTGAATTCAGTTGAGAGGCAGCTAGTCTTCTCCTTGAATGCTTCGAGTATCTCATGCTGTTAAGTGAGGCCGTTCACCCATCCTACTCTGTGGAATTCTTGCGCGTGTGGCTCTTTTCATGCCTCTGGAGGGACCCATAGTAGGGGTAGGACTTCCCACACAGCTTGCACACGTAGGGCTTCTCGCCCGTGTGAATCTGCTTGTGCCTTCGAAAATTGCTCAGGGAAGAAAAGGCTTTGCCACACTGTTCACACATGTAGGGCTTGTCCCCCGTGTGGATCCTCTCGTGACACTGCAAGGAGCTGTGGCCTACGAAGCCCTTGCCACACTGCTTGCACATGAACGGCTTCTCGCCGGTGTGAATGCGCTCGTGGATGCGGAAGGAACTGGAGGAGATGAAGCCCTTCCCGCAGTGTGTGCACACGTAGGGCTTCTCCCCGGTGTGGATCATGCTGTGCCTGCGGATGGAGCTGGTGCAGGGGAAGGCTTTCCCACACTGCGTGCACACGTAGGGCTTCTTCCCCGTGTGCACGCTCTCGTGGTAGCGCAGGGACGTGCGGCTGGTGAATTCCTTCCCGCAGATCTTACACGCGTAGGGCCTCTCTCCAGTGTGCGTGCGGTTGTGCTGCTGATAAGAGTTGTAGTATGCAAAGGCCTTTCCACAGTGCGTGCACACGTAGGGCTTCTCGCCCGTGTGGGTCCGTTTGTGCTGCTGGAAGTTGGTGAGGTAGCTGAAGGCTTTCCCACACTGCTCACACCCATAGGGTTTCTCTCCGGTGTGAGCCCTGATGTGGCGTCGGATGCTGCTCAAGAAAGAAAAGGATTTTCCACACTCTTTGCACACGTATGGTTTGGGGCCTGTGCGGGTGCTCCCCGGAGCGGCAGCGCCGGTGGAGGGAGGGGCGGAGTCTGTCCCAGCTTGCTCAGAACCACACGCGTTCCCGCCCGTGTCAATTTTCACAAAGACTTCGATGTCGTTGGGCCTCTGGGGAGCTTTCCGGCCCGGGGTGCCTTCACCCTGCTCCTTTCTAGAGATGGCCTCTTTAGGTTTCAGATGTCTCTGTGATCTAGAAGCAGGGAGGATTCCCGAGGGCAATGGGGGGGCGGGGAGGGGGGCACCCCACGCCCCATGCCCACCTGACTTTCTCCCCAAAGTCCTTCTGAATGGAAGCTGGAGGTGCCTGAACAATTTTTCATTTTGAGGGCCATCCCCTTCGTACACGAAGAGTCTCTCAAACACCTGATCTCTGTTTGGGGAAAAAAAGAGGAAGGGGGCGCATGAGTAAGGTTTGGTTTACTAATTATTTTGTCTGTCATGGGGCTTGAGTGCAGCGCTCTACCACTTGAGCCACAGTGTCACTTGTGGTTTTCTGGTGGTTCACTAGAGATGGAGTCTCACGGACTTTGCTGCCCGGGCTGGCTTTGAACCGTGATCCTCAGATCTCAGCCTCCTGAGTAGCTAGGATGACAGGCGTGATCCACCGGTGCCCAGCTTTATCTACATTTTACACTCAGAATTTGGAAGTTAATTTTGCACATTTTAATCAGTTTGTGCAGGGAAGAAAGTTTATACAAACTGAGCAATCAGTATATGTCTTTTGGGGCTGGGAAGGTGGCTCAGTGGTAGAGCGCTTGCCTTGCATGCATGAGGCCCTGGGTTTGATGCCTCAGCACCACATAAGCAAAAAGAAAAAAGCCAGAAGTGGCGCTGTGGCTCAAGTGGTAGAGTGCTAGCCTTGAGCTGAAGAGCTGAGGGACAGC